GTTTGAAAATTAAATACTGCACAGGTCTGTAAGAAATATACAAAGCACACCTAGACTTAAGAAAACATACACATGACTCTAATATTTAGATAGTATGTGCTTTTGTTAGAGTTCAGCTTTAATAAAAAAGATAAACAACTTATCATAGAAAACATCTTTATTTTCTTCATCTCCAGGTTTAAAGGCTCTGGAGGTCTTCATCAATGTCACCAGGCAACAGGTGGAAGATTACCATGGCTCAGAAGACTACTGGTGTCAATGTGTGGCTTGGAGCAGTCTAGGCACCTCCAAAAGCAGAAGGGCCTCTGTCCGTATAGCCTGTAAGTAACGTGAACCCCACATTCTGTGTTGCGGCATTTCTTTACAATAACTAACACCGAAAAAATTCCAGAGCAATGCATTTCCAGCTGTCTCTTTCCTAGTGTAGTATGACAATTGAAAGCTAGCACCTGTTTCAAGCTGCAGGCCCAATTTTATTTTCCTCCATTCTGTAAACGGGGACCCCAGCGCGGCAGATTTCTAAACAATTTTGTCACTTAGGTACCGTTCGAAATGGCACGCTGCCTTTTGATTTAAATACAAACATCTTTACAAGAGTAAAATCAAAGGCAATGCACTCACAATACACTATTTACTGTGACATTTGCTGGTTACATTTTAATGTCGCGTAAGTAGTAAATTCCAGGAATGCAAATTAACAATTAACTGACATGATTCTAATTTTATGCTCTGTTTGTGTAGCACCAGCACTCCATTTCAGTGGGTGCCCAAAGTTTTAAATGTGACTAAGAAAGTAGTAAAAAAGGACACAGAAAGTAGTAAAAAAGGAGTTAATAATAGTGGGCTCACTCCAGTCAATATAGGAAATCCATTGGCACATGTAAGTATAACTACCAACGGACGACTGAAATGAAGGCAGAATAATAACAATAAAAATAGTGGGGAACAACAAGGTAGTAAACTTTTGTCCCACAAAAAGAGAGGAATTAAATGTATGTACACCAACGCTAGAAGTCTGGCAAATAAATTAGAAGAGCTTGAAATAATGATACTCGAAGAGGACTTCGATATAGTGGGTATAGCGGAAACCTGGCTGGACACCACGCATGACTGGGCTACTAATATAGAGGGGTATAACCTGTTTAGGAGGGACAGAGGTGGGAGAAGGGGTGGGGGTTTGCATTTACGTAAAAAATAATCTAAATGTGATAAAAAGTAACAAAAGAACCCATGCTGTAAATAATATCTCCACTTGTTATATGTGCAAACTCTGTGAATGAATGGAATGTGGCTATGCTGGGTTCTTGTGTTTTAGATTTAAAGTGGTTAAGTAGTCTACAAAAAATAAAAAGCCCTCTGAAGTTTTTTACCATAATGTGCCAGCATAGACAGCATACTAGCTAATTTTGGCAAATTTCCCTTCTAAGTGATCCCCGCCAGCACTGTGCTGTCTGCTCTCCTCTCCAGCGCTGGCGCTTCCATCTTCAGCACTATACAGAATAAATATGACTGTCAACACCCCTATACTGGTACCGTTTGGAGTCCCTGGTACAGATTAATCATGACTAAGGGGTAGAACAGATGTCCCCAATTCCCTTCCCTGTCAAGACTGCTAAGTCCACCCAAACCTCCCTCCCTTCACGGGCTGCAATGCATTGTGGGAGACTAGTAATATGAGTTTATGAGTTCTCTGAATGGAGTAGAGGGCATACAGGGGGGATAAGCAGCACAACTCTTCAGGATAGCTACTGCTAGCCCATACAGCCCTGGAAGATAGCCACTCAGCCTAATATCCCGTGGCAGTGAAGGCAGCAAGAAGCAGTAGCCTGCAGGAAAATGGGATAAACACTATAACATGTAACTAATGTGTTTGGTGATGTATATCCAAATAAATAAATAAATAAACTTCAGTCTTAAAATAATTCAAGTTTGCACCTCCTTCAATGATAATTAGAGTTGGCATCACTCAGAGAAAACTATGACAGAACTCAAAAGTGTGAAAGCTTCTGTGAATGTTTGTGTATGGGCACATCATCTATTTAAAGTAAATCTTTTTCAGATCTAAGCAATTCAAGCAAAATATATAATGAAAAGTGCCACAGCAAAAATTATGTTTTGTGAAAACTGCACTTCAAATGAGTCAGTACATCCAAAGATATAGGTAGCGGAAATTTAAGTGTATGTCCAACCAAAACTATGGATACACTGAGGAAGAGTTAAAACCCCTGTTGGGTTTTTACTGCTATCCAAGGCTCCATTAGCAAGATTTTCCCCTCAGTTCCTGTCCTGCTGACATTGTTTCACCAGACAGAAAGTACATGTTGGGGTAAAGAGTTCCAGAGGATGGGAGAGACTCTAGAGAAGTCTTGGAGGCGAGCATAGGAGGAGTCAACGAGGGAGCTGGAAAGCAGGAGGTCTCTGGAAGAACGGAGGGGACAGTTAGGGTGATACTTTGAGACAAAGTGATAGACACAGTGATTATCTGCAGTAGCTGCAGTTGGGATGCTGGGATGCTAAAATAGTCTATCTGATGCAGAGGAGTGGAAGAGAAAGTTCGAAAACATAAAAACCTAAAAAAAAAGGGGTTTATTTGAAGTACGAATAAGGGGTTGAGGGCAATTAACATGAGCTGAATTTATGGTTAGAAAGACATGAAGCAGGCCTCTCCTAAAACATCAGAGATAAGGAGACTTAAATAATAATTAGAATAGTACATACAATTAATACAATGATATTAAGAATAGTTGAGTTGCAGAAGTAAAGTTTGTAAGCATTCAGTATGATGAGCTTGATGATAAAATGTGATGACCAACCTCTGCAACTAATAGTGAGCTTCAAACATGTGAAAAGGGCAGAGCCAGAAAATTTGAGAATTGCATTTGAAGTGTATGTCCAGTCAAAAACTCATATCTATGGTGAACTTCCACTTTAAGCACCAATATAGAAGCCTTGAAAGTAGGAAAAGTAGAGATGTTCAAACAATATCAGCTAACTATACCTGAGGAATCTTCCCATGGTTTGATGTGGTTACTTTAAATATAAGTTAAAAGTTTTGAATCACTACATGAACAAGGACACCATACCCCTAATGTAGGTAAACAGCAAAAAAAGAGATAGATGGGGCTTTTAAGGTGTCAAAAAATGCAATTAGGGATAATACAACATAGTAATGACAAAATTACATAGTAAAATAACATTTATTTATTACAAGATTACATGATCCACATGATAAAAATATACCCGCTAGTATCCATGATCAAAACAGCATAAAACCTCCCTGGACTCTGTACATGTGCATGATGCATGCATAATAGATACAATGAACTTATTTTATCAATTACATTATAATAAATAATTTTATATAAATAGTCATAATCAAAGTAAGATATACTGCAAGTCTGTACTGCATCCAGCCTTCTATGCATTTCGCCGAAGCTTCATCAGGAAGTCAGAGGCAACCTTTAAGATTCACATGAATATGCCAATCAGTATATTAATATTTCAAACATAATTGAAAAACCAGTAACAAAATGTAACCAATTAAATACATACATAAATACCATAAGTGGCACATTAGTGGTGAGTGGATCCGCACAGTCGGGGAGTCATCCCCAGAAACAGTCAAGGACAACAGAGAGGATAGAGAGAGAACCGACAACGATCAAATATGAAAAGCGCAATCTCTGCCTCAGGAGATCTATAAACAAATATCAATCATATAGTATAACATTGGGATGCAGCCAGGTGTGAGTGCATAATATAGATGCTAGGAACCAACCCAAATTATTCCAGCAAACTCTAAGGTAGTCAATAAGAGATCCTATTATTGTATGAACTAACATGTACTCCACTCCTCATAGAAATGAACTTGTACTGCACCTATATGCCATATATCCCATTACATATCTGCTAACTAAAGTCTTACTTACACGTCAAAACACCGGCTTCCTGTAATCGATCCCAGCCATAGCTCCACTCTCTCTGTATAGATTGCCGCCGCATTGACACACGCCGTCCAACATTGGCGTGTGACCATGCAGCTAGGACTGGCCATCTGTCCGCATATGCGTCCTCATATAGGGCGCATCTGAATGGAGGTGCCCCGCCCCTCCCTGCGATCCCCCCTTCCTCCCAAGGTCTCTCCATTTGACAGGACAATGGCAGGAGCCTCCCAACACTGTCCCCTCTTACAGCCATGCTGGCAGAGCCCTACCTATGTCAGCGTGATGAGAAGATATAACACCCTGGGAGAACAGCAATCATACCGCCCCTCCCCCGACAAGGGGGATAGGGCGATATGAAGATGCCGACCATCCCCCTATGTGAACTTTAAATATAAGACTCTGAAACATTTATATAGATATTGATATTGAAATGGATCTCCGTGGCCTCAATAACATTTAGTGCCGATCCCCAACCCCATGGTACTACACCATTTATTCTGTAATACAAATGTATTGTGAATATATTTTAGAAGGTATTTTAGAAGGTACACTAGGCCATTATTTCTAGTTTACTGGAGGGCCCTGCAGACTCCAGACAATCTTAGCAGTATCTCTGTAGGGAGCATGAAATAACAGAGCACCTGAAAAAAGCTTATAACCACCTATTACCATCCTCACAGGACTCCTATTTCCCATTAGAAAATGCTGCATCTCCAGATGCTGCCTGTAACATTTATCTTTAAGACAGGAATAATACAGAGAAAGAGTTTTAGTCCCATGTGTACTGTACATTAATTTTTGGCTCACTTGGGTGCTTTGCACTGTGGCAGCTGCTTGCTGCTCCATTGCGTTTCTATCAGAGCACACACAGAGATGAGACAGGGATCATTGGTGTTACAGTTACTTTCAGTATTTTTATCCCAATAGAAAGCTGTAAAAGATACATGATTGTTTTCTGAATTGATAGACCTTGAAAATATTTTACTGAAAAATTCTATTTTAAAAGATTTTAGACAGCAAATATTTGCTGTGGTGTATTATGCGTGTATTTAAAGGGTCACACCACCTAGGGTAGATGCTGGCACGTGCACTCACCCAAATGGGCCTTTTACAGTCCACTTCTTATCTCAATACAGTATTTTAGTATTGAGATAAGAAGTGGATTGAACAAGCTTTTTTATTCTGTTTCAATACTCTTTATTCATTTTACCATAAAAAATATAACATATGAGAACAGTGCACACTCCAATTATAAAGGAACATGTGACGAGAGTGTGAATAGCTCATAATATACCAAGCATATGTTACAAAGAATGATTACTCTTCACCATTAAACTTTTCCTGGACAGTTGCATCCTAGTCCTTTACTAAGTTAGAATCTACAGTGCCTAAATTGATTTAAAATGGAATGACCTGAATCTAGGCACAGGATACCACACCCCTAGAAAGTAGTATATCACAAATCAGAAAAGCTGGGGTTTTTTGGGCAGCCGGCTGACAACTTACAAACCAAACATTGTTTAGAAAATATTATTTTATTTGATATAATTAAAAAGGTGAATTGATTTCATAAAATTGATAACATGATTCCCCTGTAAGCTCACTTCACAATGATTAAGTTCTTCATACAGGAATAACACTCAGAAAATTATAAAATAAGACATGATTGGTAGACATGGTGAATAGAACATTCATAAACACAATACATGATTGGTATGACAAAAATGGTGTTGGAGGAGCTTGGTTTTCTCAACGTGACGTTTCGCGCTAAATAGCGCTTCTTCAGGAGAAGGAGAGGGAGGTTGTCTATACAATTTAAGAAAGATATATGGAAAATATAAACATAATTGAACTTCTAGCACAGCCACTTGAACTTATCTAGTGGTATAGTACTACATTATAACTATGGGGTCTTTCACTAAGCTGCCGTAGGCAACCGAGTGAAAGACCGACCTGAAGTGAAGTGAGCCAAACGCTGTTCGGCTATTCACTTCAGGCTGGTACGGCTGATTTCAGCCGTATATCGGCTGAAATCAACCGAACATCGGGTGGCTTCACGTGGGTTCGGGTCGGCCGAACATGCTCAGCATGTTCGGCCGACCCAAAATGCAGGAGGAGTTCGACTTAGCCGATCCAACATCTGGATCGGCTAAGCCGAACCTCCGGCAGGCTACTCGCTGCTGTTCGCTCTATTCTTATAGATGCCGAACAGCAGTGAGTGAATAGCCGAATGCCGCTGAGCCACATTCAGCTTGGCTGTTCTGCTCGGTCCCTCAGAGGCACATGCCTTAGGCCCGATTGACCCACTCGGCTAAGTTCGGGAGCTCTACTGAACCGAAGGGGTCCTGGGGCCGAAGCTAGCCGAAGGATCAGCCAAATCTACGGCTAGATCCTTCGGCTGCTTCGTGAATAGACCCATATGTGGATTTAAATAGGATCTGGTGTACTAAAGTGACCCTCTCCCCAAACCAATAATTTCAACAACAACCTTCCTATACGATTACATGAGCATTTAACCTATTTGATGCATGGTATGTGCCTCACTTGCCTCACTTTGCCACACTTGTGTGGACATCCAAAAGCCCTCAAACTGCTGCTGGGTGCCACATCTTGCATGTTATGTCAGCAGTCCCAGCAGACTTAGAACTGTCACTTAAGTGATACTCTATAGTATTATCTTTCCCTCCTCCCTTGGCTGCTATATAAAAGGTTATGTAGAGAGCTTTAGAAAGAGTAGGAGGTTTGGGCCAGCACAGACGGTTATTGGACACTCCGGGAACAGGAGAGGGCTATAATGTGCAAGGAGAGGGGGAGCTGTGCTATGGAATTGATATGTGGAGAACATCACGGCAAGGAAACATTTAACATATTTTTGATTGTTCTGTGCTTTTACCTGCAACCGTTTAAGTTTCCGACAGGGTGTTAGTAAAACCACAAAGTAATCACTCAAAAAGTAGGTGCTATGGTGGTCTTATTATCAGGTATTTGTTGCTTGACTTGTTTGTTTTATTATTATTCAAAAACAAGGATTTTAATTTGCCCTTTCTATCCCTTAGACTTGAGGAAAAATTTTGAGCAAGATCCACAAGGAGAAGAAGTCCCCATTGAAGGAATGATTGTTTTGCATTGCCGTCCCCCAGAGGGAGTACCCATGGCTGAGGTTTGTGATAAGATCACTATGCATTTAGACAGAGGTGTTTGCCCAGGAAACACTGCACTCTACTAAAGATAGATATTTACTGCACTTAATTTAAAATGAATTCATTCCACATCCCATTGGTATGTCTGCATCCTGAATTCTGCATTTTTTTATCTACTGTAGCTCTCTTAATGTATCACCATGCAGGTTTAAACATGTATGGGAGGTTTAAACACATGACTGGTGGCCTTGGTGAACACCTCAGAAGATAGTCCTGACTTTGATGTGTCAGACTTTCTTTATGTGAAAATAAACAAAATGCATTTACTTGTTGTTTTTAGGAATCCTTCTCCTTGATTACAATTAGATGAGAAAAGTTTGTTCCAGGACCACTAGGAAGTGGTAGTCTAGTACTATTTTAGGGGGTTCTTTTCAGCGTTCGATTAAAGTTAGCATGCCTCAAGGTTAAAGGGCCTTAATGTCTTGATGTTTAATGATAGTCTGGGAGCACATAGAAAAATTGTAGATATGACCAATGAGCCCTGCTAATGCCATCAGTTTGCACAAGGTCTGCCACTGGATATATATTTCATGGCACCTCATGGATCCTGCTGCCTTATTCTTAGGCACTGTGTTAATGAGCTTTGGGGTTATGTTGATTGCATTAATTTCACGTATGTGTGGGTCACTTCTGAGGTAATTCACTATTCATTGGCAGGAGAATTTGATCTGCAGCTGACCCCCTTCTGACCTGCATTTGATCTACTTCAAGCAGATTTGCCATTCCTATAGCAAAACTAACTTGAAGCAAAACCCTCTAATGCAAACAAAAGCCCATTGACATAGGCCCTTACTTTATCGGCCTTGTACATAGTACAAGTTTACTTGACTTCTCTATCCACTTTATATTGAAGCTGGCTCTTTATATTATAAATAACCGCAATGTGAGGGTGCTGATATGTGGCATTCTGACATATTGATAAACAGTGCTGATTGCTTCACTTTACTGAAATTTGACATTTATACAGTTGGAAGCTAACAGAATGGTATAAGATGTTATTAATTATTAACCAATGTACCATTTATATGGCAGACTTCTTATAACATTTTCATGTCTTTTCAGGGACTTTACTTTTAGACTTCCTAAACTTTTTATTTCTCTCTCAGGCAAAAGTGTTGAACTGTATTGATCAAGTATTATGTATTCACTTTCATTATTGCTGGTTGATAATGTTCCTAAGCTCTGTTTGTTGTATTTAAGAACTTGCAAACAGCTTCTATTGTGCTAATACAATAGAATTACGCATTTGTATTCATGATGGTTCTGTTCATGCAAAAACTGTAAATTCCTTCTGAAAATGTTCTGGAAAAAATGGGTTATGTCTTTGATTTCCTCGCTTTCATATTTTCTAACATGTTGTAGAGTATGTCTGTTTGATCTGAGCGCATGGTTTGTTGTAGAAAGTAGTCAAAGGATGGAGGTGGGGGGTGTGCAGTACTACCCAGGACCTTGTAGGTAGGAACTAAATGTTTGAGTTTAATCCTAGAAGTAACAGGGAGCAAGCACTGGAAATAACTCTTTAACTCTTTAGTAAAGGAAGGATGTATACATGAGTAGCAGAATTGGTACCAATTTAAAGGTATTCCTGTAAGTATAAAATTACAATACTCCAGATGGGAAGTGATAAGTTCCTATTTAGTGGCAAGGAGTTGCATATGTAAATAAGGGAATATTCGTGAGAATGAGCAATACAAATCTACAATAGAATGGAGGACAATTAAATGTAAGTGGAAGCTGACAAATTGGTAGTACAATATATCACATACAATATATACAATGATGCCAATACATTACACACTTACTACTACTTCTACTACTACTACTACTACTACTACTACTACTACTACTACTATTAATAATAATAATAATAATAATAATAATAATGCTTGCCACAGTACAAAAAGACATATGCCATGAACATCTTTTGTCACGAGGTACGGCTGAGCCGTGAATGGAACCCACTGGCAGGAACTTGCAAGGAGGTCCGAAATCGAAGTACAAGAGGGAAATCCAAAAGCGTAATCAAGTCCAGTCCAGGTTGAGGCAGGCAGCTAAGTTCAAGAAACGAGAAGGCAGGCCAAAGGGTCAGCAACAAGACAGGGCTCTGACTGGAATTTGTACCCAGTGGGACCCAGGACCACCCCCTGGTTGCCTATCCAGGAGCCAATGACACGAGGGAAAGGGCGGAAGGTGTATGCTGGGAACCTCCCCCAGCAAGGCCCACACCTGACAGCACTAATGGGCGCGGGCGCACTACGCGCACGCAGTCTGTCCTCCACGTGGGCGCACCCAGTGCACATTTCGTGCATGCGCACCCGCAGCCCTGATGCCAGGAGTCCTGCCCTGCCAGGAAGAAGGAGAAACCGTGCCCAGTACTGGTAAGAGGTGGCAACCCTGGTTCCCTGATATCTTTCCACAAAAGTGACACTGAGCATTAAGCAGAGTGCTCTTTGATAACACTATAGTTGCCCTTTCTTACCAAATAAATATGTTAAACAAAATTCTATACCATATTGAACATAGTTATGGCAGAGAGAATAAAAAAAAATACCTGCAGTAATGGTGAACATTTTACATTTCTCACGGGGAATGGCTGCAACTGCAAATATTTTCCCACCCAAAAGTACATAGGGTTCCCCTTTAGGTGGGATGGGACAGATTATGTTCTGTAATACAAGAATACTACTTTCAGGATTTGTTTACAGGGGTATACCATGAGATTATTTTGACATTTTCTTTTACAAACATAAAGGATTATTGAAAGAGGGGAAAGGTAGTTTGAAGATTTTTTTTATCTTTTTCATCTTCAGCTGAAGGACAGAGTCAAAGGTGACCAATATATAATGAACTTACACTATTGGAATGGTAACAGTATTGATTACTTAAGAGGTAGGCGAGGTATAAAAGTGGTATTGGTAGGTTGGTTTTGGGTAGGTTGAGTTACATAAGGCAATGGGAGGATCTTAATTAGAAGACAAGGAGTAATGTCTATCAGCAAAGCAAAGTTCTGATGCAGAAATATGCATGTCATCAGTAATAGAAACTAAGGGGGTTATTCACTTAGCTGCCGATGGCAGCCAAGTGAATAACCGAGCCGAAGTGAAGTGAGCCAAACGCTGTTTGGCTATTCACTTCAGCCTTGTATGGCTGATTTCAGCCGTACATCGGCTAGAATCAGCCATTCATCGGTTGCCTTCGGCTGCTTTCGGTCAACTGAACATGTTCGGCTGAGCCGAAGTGCAGAAGGACTTCGACTCAGCCGATCAGCTGGTACCCTTGAGGTAGCGAGCAGAATAGCAAAACAGATCAATGAATGAAAATTAAAAAAAAAAGTTTACAAATTATTTAAATTTGTTTTATAAAATAGGAAAATGTAAAAAAAATTATTTTAAGGAAAAAAAAAATAAAAAAAGACGCATGTCGACCCGACCGCATGCAACGAACTCCCACCACATAATGGAGCATCTGACAGATGCCGGCAAAAGAAAAACATTTGGTCAGAGCTAGCGGTGACAGCTAGCTTCGCCCAACTGTTTCCTATTGGCCGCCACCTTTCAGAGTCTTCTAGCAGGTCCAGGCCAAGGAATAACAACTGGGCAGATCTGACTGTGACATCACGGTCGGCTCCACCCAGTTGTTATTGTTTAATGACAGATCAGCATCCCCAGGTCATTTGGGGATGCTGGTCTGTCATTGCAACTGGGGGGAATGAGCCTTGAGGTCACGGCTGGCTCCACCCAGCTGTCATTTGTGTGGAGACCGGCCGGCCCTTCGACTGACCATTCTCCACGCTTCGGCTGTCACTTCAGCTCAGTCGAGCCAAAGCATATGCCTTCAGCTCAGCCGCTTGGCCGCCCTCGGCTGCTGTACAGGCTATTGTGAATAGCCCGTACAGCAGCCCTTCAGTTCGACTGAACTGAAGGGCATAGGCAGCCAAAGCGAGCCGAAAGATTAGCTGAAGCTACGGCTGGATCTTTCGGCTCTTTAGTGACTAACCCCCTAAAACGTTTAATTTGTTTTTTCCAAGAAAAGCATTGTACAATGCAATAAGAAGGACCCACAGTACCCCATAGCATTTCCAGGTCCATGTTGGAAGCAAATAGAAAGAAGTAAAACCATTAAAAGAAGTTTGGAAGTAAAGGTTGGCCAAAATTAAGTGATCTATGATAAAGCAGTGTCAGTTAGACCTAAAGGGGCTCACAGATTTGATAATAATGTGTTAATCAGCTATTTCAAAGGAAATGGACAGGTTAAGATATTAGCAAGGAATGTTGAATTGGATACCAGTGGGACCAATTACAGTAGAATGGAAAAAAATGAATGCAAGTTTAAAAGGAACCAAGCAAAGTGTTATAGACAAAATGTAATATTAAGGAAGTCTGAGAGCAAACATTTGTTTGGAAAATGGATGGTGGATTGATGGAGAAAAATAATTAAAGGGAATGTTAGCTAGTTTTGAACATGCTTTCTGTCTTTCTTCACTATGGTTAAATATATGGTAAACATTTAAATCTATCTATTTTTTCAGATAAATATAAACTAGAGTATATATAAAGAACTCTTTATCCCATGTTATCAATTATTTCCTTAGCTCTTTTATTGAAAACAGCTTGTTGACTCACCCCCCTTACTGTGGTATGGTTATGCCTGAGGTTTCAATGAGAGATAGCATGTCTGAAAGAAGATTACTGCTGTACTTTCTTTGTAGAAACCCACAGTTCTCCTGGAATCTATTTTCATGAATGAATGTTTATTTTGAACACATCTCGCTCTTTCTCCCATTTATGGTTTGGTAGCTTTTTATTAATAAACAATGGAATGCTAACTTAAGAGTATCTGGGACCAGAATAGAGAGGTAAAGACTATTGTTACAATTCCATTGAATTCAATAGAGGATCCATCCCCTTGCTGAAAAGCACTCTGAAAGGCTGGGGAGGGGGAAGCTGGAAGAAACAGACAA